GGGAGAAAAGCCGGCAGCGCCCAGGTCTCCTGCCCGGCTCGCGGCACCGCGCCGAGGGGCTGCTGCTCCTCTTCTCCTCCAGAAATTAACCCCGGGTCTGGCGCAGGGCTGACCTACGGCACAGCTCCCGGAATTGCTTTATAGCACAAACGAAGAGCACCTCTCAAACAAAGAGAAAACTAGACCTTTTCTGGCCTCCCTTTTGTGCCCCCGTGCTCCTGGCGGGCCGGGAGAACCCTTTGGATCCCTCAGGGAGATGCTGGATGTTTCTGCTCTGCCCAGAGCGGCCTCAATTTAAACGGCTGCTGTAGCCATTACCTGTCCCCTCCGCGCTCTGCAGCCGCGGACGGGGAGCGTCGCCTCCGTGCCGAGCGCGGCCGGGAGGCCTTGGGCGCCGGGGCTGTCCCGCTGGCCGGCCCTGATGCTCCGCACTAACCCCGCTCCAGGAATCACTTGGCCTTGGACATGCAGATCGGCCGCCTCTTAATTTCTCCTACCCCCAATAACCGTAAAGAACCCAACAGCGTTTTTTGCACACACCCCTACATGTCTATTTAACACCCTCCATTTACTAATCCCGGCTTGAAAATAAATTAAAAAAAAAAAGGAAGTCCAAAAGCTGGTCTTGGAAAGGTGCCCTTCGAGTCGAGCCCCTCGGGTCGCTGGTGGCCGGAACGCTGTCGGAAGTACCCGTTCATGCTGGCGACACGGGCGTCAAGTCCTTCGATAATTTCTTGCCAAAATTAATAATCATCTGTTCCCATGTATAGCGCACTGATGAACTTAACAATTGTACAATTTTAGGGACCTTTGATTGCAACGGCTTTTACAAATGGATACCATTGAAACGTTACACATGGGTGGTTGCCATCTCACTTGGAGGTATTGCAGTCTGCACCATCTGTACTCTGTGCTCAGCTACCACTCCCTCCCATCTACTTTTAAGTGAACAAATTTTCCTCTTCATTTCGTCTTTCCTTGGCCTTTAATCATTCCTTTTTGTGATTTATTTTATTTAAATCAATCTCCGGGTTGGAAACTGGAAAGCAGATCAGGAGCTGGCACCTCCCCAAGTTACTTCTCCCTTTTGGAAACTCTCAGGGCAACCTCTGGAGGCTCCAGACCTGCCTGGAGCAGTGGGGACCCCGGGGCAGCCCCCGCCTCGCTGCAGCAAAACCCATCCTTCTGGATTAAGTTGAATATTAATTAAATATTAAAGCTAAAAGATAACGTTGTAACTAGTAACCATAGAGCAATTATCAAGATTAAAAAAAAATTAAACCTAAGCAAATTAAATTAGAGACATTACCTGGGTAATGCATCCTTGGATTGCTGCCAGTTTCCTACCCTTTGAACTAAGCTTGAGTTAATTAAATGTTTAATATTTTTTTATTATTTTTTTTGGCCTTTGGCATATTCATCTTTGCAAACAAATATTCTTAATGCTGAGAATTGCTTAGATTAGAAAAGTCAGTCGATAAGAAAGCAGAAGTTCCTCGTGGTCGGTCGCCCAGCTCCCCTTGGAGCGCCGGATGGGTGCGGAGCAGCGTGGCGGGTTGTTTCCCGTCCCGAGCGTGGCGCTGCCCCGGGGATGCTCCAGTTCGCGCTCCCGCTCGGATGCGGAACCAGAGCTGCCGGCAGTCGAGGGCTGGGAGCTGGCCAGTGTTTGTGGGAAACATCTGGAGGCTTAAACTGTATAAAAAATATGTAAATACGGGTGGATCAGAGCTGTGTGCTTGCTCTTCATCCACCAGGACAGGCACGGGATTGCCGGAAACTGTTGCGTGAATTGATTTGGCCACCAAGAAATTTAGTTTTTAAGGGGAAAGAAGAAACCCCGCCGAGGCCTCCTGGCTTTCATCCCGGCTCCGTTTGCACGCCATCCGTGCCGGCATATCGGGGTCGGCCGCAGCCGATCGCAGCCGTCACCCACTGGCCAGAC